AGTCATGTGTCTGTGTGGTGTTACAGGGGGTGTGGTGCTGATCGCGGGCACAGGCTCTAACTGCAAGTTGGTGAACCCTGATGGGACGGAGGTGGGCTGTGGCGGCTGGGGGCACCTGATGGGCGACGAGGGCTCAGGTAAAACACTCCGGCCTCTCGCTGACCTCTCTCTGTAACGTCCGTAGAGTTTCAGAACAGACAAGCATTTCTCAGCATTTGCTTTGTGAACAGCTGTTTTTTTGGCACATTGTTCTGTACTACCCCATATCTCAGTATTGTGAGGTATAGATAACAAATTTCCTGAATTTGCACAAGTATTGTACGCTGCTGGGGCGGCGGTGGCGGGGGGTTGCAGTCTCCACATTGCCAGCCCAGTTCATGTGGACGTTCTGGGTTTGTTTGTGAAACAGGCAGGTGGGATTCAGGACCTATCGGCTGCTTGCAGTCCAGTGAGCAAGATGGCCTCCTGCTGTTTGTGACCTTATGGTGCTTCTGGTTGCTGAGGGGCTTCTCTGCGTATCTGCTGCGGGCATGCAGGGACCTCAAGGGAGCCATCTGGCCAGCAGACTGCTGTCTGAAGCTCCTGAGAGCTCATTCCTGACTCGGCTGCTGCCTCCCTCTCTTCCCTCAGCCTACTGGATTGCACACCTGGCTGTGAAAACTGTGTTCGACGCCTATGACAACCTGGTCCCGCCCCCGCACGATGTCACCTACATCAAGCGAGCCATGATGGAGTACTTCCAGGTGAGAGTGAGGTCAGGCATCCCCTGCCCACCCCACTCTGCGCTTCTACAGGTGTTCTGTCAGAGGACTCCAACAACAACAGAGGACCCCAAGAACTCCCAGTAGAAAGTGGTATCAGGGGGTACCTCACTCCCCACAACAGAGGACCCCAAGAACCCCCAGTAGAAAGCAGTATCTGGGGGTCTTGGACAGTGTCTGCAGGTGTGTGACACCAGGAGAGGCAGTGCTGAGTGACAGTGTTTTCATCTCTCCCTCGGGTTATTTTGTTGCAGCTGCATTGCTAGTTAAACCTAGGCACCTTGCACACTACTGCACTGGGGCAGGAGAAGCTGTATCTCAGTAAAGGCTTACAGAACACTCTGG